ACCTGTTCTCTACCTGGACACATGAACTACCTACACAGCAGACAAATCAATTGTCTGAGGAACATATTCTGAAGGTGAAATCACTGACTTAGTGATGACAACTAAACATGCATAGGGCCTTCCAGAACTTTGTGGAACTCGGGTAAGGAAGTAACAGGTAACTCAGATCTGCAGCATTGCCTCTGGTACAAAAGGCTGGGAGCAAAGCAGGACAACTTGTCATCTTTTGCCCTTTGATGGGAGGATGAGGATGATGGGGAGCTTTTTTTCCTCAGTTTCTGTTTTTAACAGGAGTTTAACATCCATTCTCCACAGAAACTGACAGCTGGAAACCAGACCTAGAATTCCATTTTCAGCAATAAACCTAGAAGCAAATGCTAGGCTAGCTAGGCTGCCTGCAGAAGAGTAGCAAGAGATGGGTCAGGCAATCAAGAAGGAAAACGAGCTCCTCCATCCCTGATGCACAAAAGGCAGAGAAGGACAGAATTTTATGAAACCAGAAGCAAAGCAGTCCTTATGGGAGAACAGTCTCACAGGCTTTTCATGTAGCCTAAAATTGATATAAAAGTATTCATAACTCCTCAAATATTGAGTATTGATAATGATTAACTAAGGGCACTTGGGGCATTTAGGGTGTGCAAGTGCCTCTTAGTTCTACTGAAGGGAGATGGGTCCAGAGAAGAAAGCAGTAATTTCTCTCCCATAAAACAGAGAAATAAATGCAGAGACACAACTTTTCTGAAGAGAGGTGCACAGAGATTGATCAGCCATCTCAAATGTCCAAACACTCTGCTCAGTAACTTCTGGGAAAATTTTATTTCTATAGTTATGATCGTTAAAAGGAATGATCTGGCCAAAACTGAGGACAGCATTGTCTTTGGTACACTCTACAGCCCTCTGTCACAGAGCTCAGCACTGAACTGTGCCAACAGAGCAGAGGGATGTGGGCCCAGCTCATGAGGCTTTTCAGTCTCTGGGGCAAGGAGTATCTCTGGTTTGTTACCCTGTGCATTACCTGGAATTCTTCTGGGAAACACAAACATAAGCCAGACACCTTTGCCCATACCAGAAGATCTTGCGAAGAGCTAGAGAGAAGAACTAATCAAACCTTAACTGGAAAATAATCAAGATTTTAATACAGATGCATGTGAGAAAAGTCAACCCCCCTTCTTTGCACCAGCACCACATAGAAAAACTTCCAGCGCCAGGAGTGTGAGATAACAGGAGCACAGGAATTTCTGGACAATAAAAATATCTTAGCTGCTATGTACAAAAATCATCTTGTAAGGAAGGATTTTCAGGTACTTCCCCTTCAAACCCAGAGATGGGGATGAATGGCTAGCCCTGAGGAAGAGGAGGATGGTCACTTGTGGCCATCAGAAGAAGAGGTGCTGCTAAAATCCAGGTCTTGTTTCCTCTTTTGAACCTAGTTTTCAGATATGAAAAAAGTGGAAAAGAGATACATGTAGGAACTTGCTTCTCTCAGCAGAAGATCTCAAAATGTGGAAAAATGAGCTCTTAACTAGAGAGGTGAAGAGATCTCCTCAGGACCATGAAGAATCACAAACCATTCCACACTGAAGACTGAATTTTGCCTCAGACCATCCATGCACATGATTTCTCAAATGACTTCAAAGCGTGTAGAAGTTTTCCTCCAGGAAAAAGTAAGGTAACAGGTACCTGGGAAAGAATCATGGGGATTTTTCTGCTTCAAATGAAGCTACTCCTACTGAAATGCCTGCAGGATTACTAACAGGCTGGGTGAGCAAGCAACAGTTTTCTTTACCAAGTCGCCTGCAACAATTTCCAATTCTACATCATATATCTCAAAACTTCCAGGCCAGGACCTATCTCCCTGATCCAGCACATGCACATTCATGACATGCATCTTTTCAAGCCTAACAAAATGATAAAAATGTACCTAATCAGAACCCTTGTTCACTCAGAAGAAAACATATCCAGTAGCAAATCTTGACAGAAAATAAACATACAATCCATTTTAAATATGGGGAAGCTGGAAATATTTAAACTCAGAATGAGCATGGAAAATCTTCTTTATAAAGCCAGAATAGGGCTTTGCTTTTTCTATTTATTTTTTAGTAAGATGAGCACTGTAGGTGCTGCAAGCGACAACACACTGTGTGAGGAGGGAGAGAAATCAAACAGCATTAATCCTACAGCTGCAGTTCAAATAATGTAAAACTTTTAAGTAAACTTGAAGAAACTCAGTCTTTCTGCGTATTCATTTTATGAGTCAACCTGTGTGTTCCTACCTGACTCGCAGCTATGTAGAGTGAGGCAGCAATATTTCCAAACCATTAAATCATCTGCAAGTGCTTTCCTCCTCCATCAAGCATTCCTAAGCCTTTCTCTCTCCACAAGAGCAAAGACAAGATTATTTCCTCTCCAAACACAGCCCACTCAGCTCCAGCTGCCATGTCTGCAGCAGCCAGACCACGCGCCCCTTCAGCAGGAACGGTTTTTCTTAGGTCAAGTGGAACACATGCCTAATAAAAAATTCTGAATTGCTCGTATGAATTAATAAACAAGCCTTCTGTGCCGTTTTGTACGTACAATAACAGTTTTCAGATATGACAGCTCAGCTACAAATGCTGTACTACTTGACCTGCAATGTGGCAGCAGAGTTTGGATTTACCAGCCCCCTCAGCCTCGGCAGGAGCCAGAACCCAGCAGCAGCTTCTGATGGTCCCCACTGATGGTGGGATTTTAACCCCTCCACAGTCAATGGCAAGACACTGTGCAGATCAGGATTTCACTTCACACATGTTCATCTCCCTCTGCTGTGAGATCTGCTTGGCTATATCCTAATACCATTTTCTTGTTCCTTGACATGAGCTTACAATGCTACCTTAAAATACCACACACAGAAACCACAATGAAGACTGTCCTAATCGAAACCTAAGTGATAACAAGAAGCATCATGAGTCTTGTGAAGGATTAAATGAATTTGTCCCAACTGTGACAAAAACAATGCAAAGCTTTTCCTGCCACCTTAAAATATTGAGAGAACAGATTTTACAAACACCAGCTGAATTAATTTTTAAAATAAATCAAATTGTTTCTAAAATAAGTGTTCATCCTGTCTTGATGGGCAAATAGAATCATATCATGATTTTATCTTTTCTTCATCAAACATGCCTTTACACAGTAAGTTAAATATTCAATCACAAATTTGTAGAACACACAGAACTCACATTTTCTCACTTTTCTTGAATTATGACAATATATATCAAAAATGAAGACAGAATTGAGCAATAAGGCCATGTAATATTCCAAGGCCTGTAGGAATCAGAAATGCTAATGGAACATGCTAAGGATGTTCCTAACTATTGCGATTCACCTACCAAGATTCTTAGTATACCTCTAAATTTGGACTCAATAGTGAACTTACTGAAGAGTTAAACTCTCCTGAGCTTAAAGGTTTGTGGACTCTTTCTAGACTCCAAATACTTTTTCACTGAAAATTCTCTCTTGCTGATTGTTTTGTTTCACAATTTTGTTTCACAGCAATATTTACATTTTTTGGATTTTTGGCTTTTGTTTCATACACTTTATTTTCAGAACACAATGTCCCCCCACTGAAGTCAACTGCTGTGCTTTGGATCCCTCCAGATTTAAATCTCTAATGTCATTCCTCACAGTCTTGCATCATTCCTGTAAAACAACTGCTCCTTCAGTGGGGAATTAAATCTTCCTCTAATAACAAGGAACCAAAATACTAAGTGGCTAATACTAATAGCTAAGTGTTCTATTTTTCCAACAACTTTATATTTAAAACAGATTAGGACAAAATGACCACAGCTATTGTACTTGCAAGAGATACTTAGTTTTTAATTTGAGGAATGTGCCTCACTAAGTTGGCTGACCTTAACAACTCTGTGGGTACAAAATGTCCTTAAACTTTGTTCCTCTCTCTGGTAATTATTGCTTTCATTAATTATGTTCAGTGGTCAGCATAGCCTGGACATGACTGTGCAACAATGTCCAAGCCCCGTAACTAGTCTCCCTCACAATTTAACCACCACTACAGGGTGTTAAAGAGACATTGGTGAAAGATGCTGGACATCTCTGACTGTGCTGATGGTGCATTCACAGTCTCAGGTGTTGTTAACTGCAAATAAGGCAAGATTGCCATTAGCTCACATGTTGTAGGATGTCAAGTCTTTACCAGATTTTGACAACAGAAAATGGAAAATTATCATTTTGCTAAATGTTGTTCCAATCTGTGTTTGTAAGACACTGGGCTAGGGCAGTCTAATTTCAGTTATATCCATAGAAATATTTTTTGGCAGTAACTAGACACTATTTGTGAGACAGACCTGGAAAAGACTCAAGGAAAGAGGTTTCACAGTTGTATTGTGAGAACTAATCTCAGTCAAGACCCTCCCTGTTGTGTTTTGAACTAAGTCTCAAAGGCAGTAAAACTGTCATGAAACTTCTGCCCTTTATTCCTCCTGTTGTCTTGGACCAGCTGGTTTTTCATTTAACTGATTTATTGATACCCGATAGTTTATTAGGATGAAAAACCTTCAGGTTACTTCAGGATACAAAAATATATGAACTACCCCAGTTTCAGCCAGGTGGTCCTGACAGAAGCCAGAGATCAATTCCATCTACAGAACAGTCTTTTTTTTGTAGCACTGACAGAGCACAGGTATTTGGGCAGGTCACATCCATGCTTCCATCTGTCCTGTGCCTTCGTGACCAGCCTCACATGTCCATGGCATGGGGGACAGAAGGACACTCTTCATTCTGCCTTAACAAGTGGGACAGCACCCTGATCTCTGGGACACATTCCAGGAGTCACCTAGATTGTGCTGGTAATTGAAGAATTAGGAGCTCCTAATTCTAAGGTGTCCCCAGAAAACTGAGAGTTACATATGACCAACACCTGTGTTTTTGAGCCACTGCAGTGCAGAAATACTTCTCTATCACATTTACACATGCAACTAATGATTTTAAAGACAGAGAAAACTTACGTAGTCATGAAAGGCTTTTGCTTCACTCGAGTGTTCACATGTTTCTCTTCTTTCTGGAGCTGCACAGTAGAGATCCCAGAACACACTGCCAGGGAAGAGGTTACAGATGGTGAGAGTGTCACTGTGATGCTTCTGTGCATTTTATGGCATACACACACCCCACATGGATGTTCCTATACAGAAGCCTCACTTCCTCTCCAATGGATGGGAACACTCACCTCTAAGGAAGAATTAAGATTTGTAAATCATCTGTGAGGAACCCAGTCCTGCCATCTGATCTCTGAGGCAAGTAGTGCTGTACTCCTCAAATACCACTGCATTACAGACCAAGAATCTGGTCTAATATATAATAATATATATTATAGTATATAGTAATACAGTATATATTTTATATATATATATAAATACAGTAATTATATATATAATATATATAAGTTATGTAGGTTATATATACACAAACAGTAATATATATAGTAATGCAACTTCTATTTAATCTTAACCCTCTGAGAACTGCTCGAATGACTTCCATAAAGCATGGGAAAGAACTAATTCATTATAATATGGAAAGAAAAAACCAAAACAAACAAAAAAACAAAAAAACAAACAAAAAAAACCACCCACAAACACCTGGGAATTCTTCCGTGGTCAAGATTCATGGAATCACAGAATGATTTGGATTGGAAGGACTTTAGAGCCCACCCAGACTCCACCACCTTCCACTATCCCAGGTTACTCTGTCCAATGTGGTCTTGAACATTTGCAGGGATGGGACAGCCACAGCTTCTTTGGACAAATGTCCAGTCCTGTGCTTAAACCAAAGCTCCCTGAGGATCTGGTGCCTGGTCAAGCATAGAAAATGGATGGGCATGTTCTTAGGTCATAAAGAGTGAAAGGAAGGTCATTATGGAACATAATGCCATTGGTCTTCCCCCACAAACTCCTTCAACTAGAATTATATACCAATCAGCTCTACCACAAAGTTCCTGGAATGAAACTGTGTGTATGGCAGAATGACTTAAAAATGTATTTGATAATAAAATTTGTTGGAGCTTCATAATGGTTTTTAGTGGTTTAGACTTAATTCTCTGTAACTTAATCCAGCACTGTAATAGGGATTTATGGACAATTTGACCACTCTGCTGCAGACAATTAAAATTAAGGATAATACAGACATTAGAGATAAAAGGGACACGTTCTTGTCAGGCTTCCATCACACAGCAAAAGCTGTGGAAGAATGGTCAAAGAAGGATACCCCACTTCCCATGCAGCTGTGCAAATCACTTGGGTTCAAATGGGACCGTTTCAAAACCTGTGAATTCTTGTACTCCTGACAGCTGGGCACATTCTCTCCACTTCTGCATTGCTTCAAACACAGGCTTGTTGGAAATATTAAAATAATGAATAAATACCATTGCTACACAGCAGTGCCTATGAGCACTCTTCTCCCCTGGGGAATTCTACACGTGCAGCCATGGACTGCAGACTGAGCAAGCTCACATCTACACAGACACTCTGTATTTACTGTGTTTCCTTTCCAAATGCAAGTATTTATGATATGCAGAATGATCCCTCAGCTCCAAAATATGCTGGAAGGTGGTGAAGAAGGAAAGCCAGGCCACCTTCTTTCTGCTTGATGCACTATTTCTTTTTTTCCTGCATCAGTAACTTTTTCTGTTATTTCCTTTTCTGTATCTAATTTTCCTGTATCTAATTTTCTGATATTTCATTCCTGAACAAAAGAATACTTCTTAATCCTGATCCTCTCGTCCTTTTTACAGTGTTCACCTGAACTTCTTGCCTCCAGCAGCTGGAACTGCCAATCAATATATTCTAAAAAAATCAGAGAAGAAAACTGGTACTTACCACCACCAGGAATGCAAGAATCCTGGGGGCTCCCCCAGTGTGATGTTTTTTTCCCATCTTATCTAAAACAAAATGATAAAAACAGATGTGTACATTCTTGTGATCATTGTGACTAAAAAGCGTAAGAAAATAAAGATAGAAAAAGGATGAGGAAGAGAAGATTTCACGGTTATGAGACACTTTATGGTCATCAATTTGGACGCCTCTATGTACTTACCTTTCTACATTTACTGATAGCTGATACTTAAAATTAGCTCTTCTTATGCTAGGGAAGAATATTTTAGAATTTTATTCTTTGGGTTTTTTTCCTGAATATTCTCAATTCTGAATATACTGTGTATTACTTTAAGGTCAAAAACGCATGATTTAAAAAGAGATGATAAAGCACCCTTAAAACCTGCAATCTTTTCCTATTTGCACAGGAGTGATGCTGTGGATTCAGCAGGTGGCACTCTTTCCCCCGCAGCCAGGGCCAGCAGTGTTTTGTAATCCTCAAGGAGCGCTTGAGTCACAGGTAATGTGGCAAAAGCAAGGCAGCACCACTGCCATAACCCAGCTCCCACCACTCAGGGAAAACATACAGCTGCTCTGCCTTGCTTTCCTGTGCTGTCGAGCTCTCCTCAACACCTGAACTGCCTCAGACTTCCTTCTCACCAAGGAAGCTGGGTTTGTTTGATGCTGTTCTCAAAGGAAATGCGGTTTAAGAACTCTCAACTCCTGAATTCAAACTTTTGCTGTTGATCAGGGAACCCATCAGACTGATGGGTTTGCTGTTGTAGCAATCACAGCAACAGCATCTGTCTCTCCGCAAAAATTCCCAAATGTTGTACCTTAACTATAATCACACAACCACCTTTTCAAAGCCAGTCAGTAGCTTGTCCTTAACACCAAAATTAAATAGTTTGGGCTATAATAAAGCCCACACAACACTGTCCAGAAGAATATCTCATGTTAGAACTTCATGGATATAAGGCATTGTGTGCAATGCAAATTCCTCCAGTTATATCGACACACAGCATCATTTCCTGTCCAACTCTGTTCAAAAAGGAGTTGTTAAAAGCACAAACCATATTCTTCTTGAGATAGAAGAAATGGCAGACAAGAAGAGGGTTATTTTAATTAAATGACTAAACAGCCCTAATATGAAAGGAATTTAAAGAGACAGATCCATATACATATATGTAAAATTATATAAAAGCTTAATATTAAAGGTAGATATAGTAGATTTAGGGGCCTTCCTAAAGCTGGCATTTTTCAAAGAGACTTAGGATTGTCAACTCACATTTGATTTCCACATCCAGTTCTTAGGAAATTTAAACACATACAAGTTTTGTCAATAGCAGAATATGTAGCTCATACACCTAAAAATGTTGTTTGAACTTATGTGAAAATCCATATAGAAAATCTCAAACATGAAGAAAACTAAAGCAATTTTGATATATTATATGAACTCAACTATTAAAAAATAATTTTGCCATTTTTAAATTGTTTATAAAAGATAACTTTGAGCCACTATCACTTGAGTTGGTAAAGCTAGCAGAATGAAAACCAGCATCCCTCATATGGTAGTTAATTCACAAATAACGTATTTTACAAAGTTCCTGCTTAAGTGCTGGCAGAAAAAAGTGGTGAACATTTGAAAGCCAAAGCCACTACAAAGGCATTACACACTTTTCAAATACACTTTTCTGAGGCACAGCTGCTCTTCATGTGCCCTGGGAATGTCTTGGAAAGGCTTGTATTAATAATCAGGAACACACAGTACCTCTGAGAAGGTTCAAAATTACATAATGAAGAGACGCATTGTACAACCAGAATGAAAAAGTGGCTCCTGAAGCAGAAATATCATTTGCTTAGGAGTAAAAATTATGTCTGTGAAGAACACCCACATTACGTCTAAGCAGTGATTGTTTTCTTCAAAGCAGGGCCGGGTGAGGAAATTACCCAGTTCAGGTATTTTCTGGGTCCTGGGACATATGTCCTCTTGAGAAACTTATTGGGAGAAAGAGACTGAAGGGAATGTGGAAGTCTGGGACTCTTCTCAAGGATTTTTGTTTTTTCAAAATATATGTACTTGTGTCTAACATAGCAGATGTAGTCTGTCTGATCAATGAGACTTATCAAGTACAATTATTTATAGGAAAAAAAATCTTCGTTGTCATGTGTACTGGTTAAGCTCATAGCCAGGGAATGATTAACTGGGAAATGCCCACCAGCCTGGTCCAGCCAGGCTAATGGAATTATCCAAGGCTGGAATCTGACTTCCAGGATGGAAAATACATGGGATAAGGATCAGCTCTTCAGAGGAAGCACACAAAAGCCAAACTAGACACAAAGCATGATGCTCAATACAACCATCCCTAAGTTAAAGAGTATCAGTGGATTCATGGATATCCAACTTCTATTTTCCTTTAATTTGGTTCCATTCCTCTGAGACACAGTCCCTGGCAGATCTGTGAGAGAGGGCTCTTAACCTTTAGACACCACTGGCTGCCCTACAGCTCAGACAATCTCTGTGTGCTCTTCTTTTAATCCCCAACACTCAGCTTTAGAGTTACTCTGAACTGTTTAACTTTAAAATGAAACCCACCCAAAGAGGCAAGAGCTTCCAGCCCAGCAGTCACAGAACCATTCACAAGAACTGTCAGCATGTTTACCCTCCTGCACTGCTAATTAGTGAGGGAAATAAACCCACAGCTCCTACCTCACACCCACCCTATGCACTGCTAATTGTCCCTGACCTGTGCTGAGCATCTTTTGATGAGTACAAGTCTTAATTTTGAAGATTTGATATATCCTTATGTTTCATTGTTCAGACCTGAGAGCTCCCCTTTAACTCAAGACTGAATTAGTTTTAAAAGCTGAGTTTCAAGACACTGTATTTAATGTTTTCAGGAAATCCAGATGTCATACCAGCTATGTTTCTGCCAACTGCTCATTTTGCAAATACATCATAAAAACAAAGCGAGCAAAATTTACCTTGTGCAATGCATTATTTACAAATGACAGCTGTTTTGGAAAAGCCAAGATGATACTCTACGTTATTTTATCTCTTACTTTTCCAATGCTTTACCACAGAGATAAAACAATTGTCAAAAACATCCTTTACTATATATATAAACTGATCCTGCTACAATTCTACCCTTTTTCCTTATCTCTGCTTTGTCAGTTCTGTGTAAACATCACAAACAACCCACTGGATTTTCATTTTCACCTCTTCCATCTCCAAAATGTCATCACAGCATAATAATTTTATTAGCTTTTGGAGAAGGATAAAAAAAAGCAGAAAATTTTCCTAGGACAATATTTTGCCTATTTTTTCCCAATTGTTGCTCACTACTCCTATTACTACTACTACTACTACAACTACTACTACTACACTATTGTTATTATTATTAGTTATTATAATTGTTGCTATTATTTTATATGTTCTTGTCAAAGATTAGAAACAATAATAAACCCAGAGGACTTCAATGTGTACAGCATACATCTGTATCCTAGGGCAAAATTAAAATGCCGAGGAGACGTAGTTTACCTCAACCTTCGAAAGATGCACACCATGTCTTTGAAAAGACTCTTAAAAAAACCCCCCAAACTACTATGTACAGGTAGAAATTCCATTAGCAGTTGAAATTGTTTAAAAAAGCAGAAGCTAAGTGGTGGTGGCCGTCATTGATTCAGCAGATGAAAAGAAGTGAAGTGGTTAAAAGCATGGTGAGAGCACAGAGAGATCAGCAGTGCTTCAGAGAAGGAGAACTGATAGTGTATGACAGTGGGATGTACAATACATTTAGAAGGGCTCATCATTCACAATTGGAGATATCAATAGTAAGTTAAAAGGTCATCAAAACCAAGTACCATTGAAGTGTTCTCCAACATGCCCACTTACTAGAGAAAATAGAATAATCTTCCCTATTGTAGAATGGGGATAACAAACCACAGCAAAAATAGTTACACAAAATCATGTAAAAGGACATGGCAGACTGGGTTCCAGAGGATGAGAAACAGTGGATTGAGGCAAACTGATACCCAAGGTTCTCACTGCTTTTATTCTAGACCAAATCATATTTATTTCACTTGCAGGCCCCCAGAAGTCGTGGAAAAAAAACTCACCTCTGATAAAAATGTCTGGGCTGATTTCTGTGCTCCTACATGGAGCAGATATTCATATACGTACAGTGCTAATCTGAAAAATAAACAGAAAGGACAATATTTAGTATTGTGTATTTATTTGCTCCTCTTCTTCAGAAATAAAGGATGAGCACAAGTTTGAGGTACACCCCACTGCCTTCCACAAACCACAATGTACTGAATGTGCCAAATCTATTACCTCTGGTAATAGATGTCTTTCAGCTAGACATGTAGGTCAATCTGACCAGAGGTGTTTAAATAGTCATTAATTAAAACATTATTAAGCCCCCAAATTACTTACTGTCAACATTTTTTAATATTTGGACAAGTGCCCAGTTAGCTAACAAGTGACCCAGAGCCGCTCTGAGCGAGCGTGCTTACTGTAAATACAATATATTCATGCAGCATCACTGATTACTTTTCCAGGTCAACTTTTTTCACATGTGGAATGTGCCAAGCTGTTAGCACACTTGAAAAACAGCCCTGTGGTTTTTCCAAAAAACATGGAAACCTCAGGCTGCCATCAGGAGAAGCAATGGCAGCCTCAATGCACAGCACGGCCAAACAACCACAGCTTTGCAGCCAAGGGAAAACGGATCCTGAGGTTCATCCACACCTGGGCTCTGGTGGCACCAGAGCTACAAACAACTGCCACAGCTCCAGCTGACTCCCTCCCCAGAGCCTCCTGTCTGTCTGTCTGTCTGTCTGTCTGTCTGTCTGCAAGTCTCCAGGCTTTC